CAAAACCGTCCATAAAGATAATTTAAACATACATATTCATGACAGATCTGATTTTATTTATCTTGTTTAGCATATAATAATAAGTTGTGAACCATAAAATATATCACTTTTGTGACAGCTTAATGATATAAAACAATTTCTGTCTTTCTCTGTGATTGCTAACTCTATTTTTTGGCTCAAATTTTATTTAAATAATGTAAGTTTCTGGTAGTTATAACTATTATATTTTTGTTTTAGTGAAACGAAAATTTAATAAGGATACCATTGAAGCTGCTTCAAGCCTGATGTATATTCGGAATGATTTGTTGAATATCTGGACACTGCTATATAATCTTTTGTAATTTATACATTCTAAGTACATATTCTAAGAAGTAATGTTTATTTAGTAATAGTTCAGGTTAGTATACTATGTTTCAATTCAGAAATTTTATGCAGTAACCTATCTTTTTTATATAAAACATATTTTTATTAAACATTTTTTAAATAAAACGTTTTTTATAAACATTTTTTTTACAAATTAAACATTTTTAAATGAATATTATGGTGTTTTTTTGACGTCTAAACACGTTATCTGGTGACGTGTTTATCACGTCGCTGTATGACGTCTTTGATCTGTGACATATTGCCGTCATAATCACGTCACTAGCACGTCATAAATTGGTGATTTCGACGTAAAATGTGACGTGTATTTCACGTGAAAATCACGTGTCTGTGCTAGCTGGGATCCCGAAAAAATAGTCAAAATGGATTCAGGGGACCTAAAAACGTAAAAATCCGTCAAAAACTCGAGATCGAAAAACAATCATGATTCCTATACTTTCCTTATCTGTATACAGATAGGAAAGTAAAAAGGAATGTTTAGAAATCGGAGCTGCTTGACTTTTTTTGACTTGGATAGTTAAAGAACTTTGTGGTAAAAGCGTTTTGAAGCAGTTCATATGAGGTATAGAAAACTTCACTATTCTATTGCATTTTCTGTGCAAAAAACAACGCTTTTTACACCCACATGGATATTCTCTTATTTACGCACAGACTAAAAAACTAAAAAGTATACTATTGCCATTAACCTATTTTATATCTATTTTATGTAGAGAGAGCACTACGAAAAAAATAAAATTCACCAAACACAGTTCATATTTTGAACACCCAAGTATTATTATTTTTAAAATTTTAAATGAGTGAGAATTCTTTCAAACTAATTGTCAGTACATTTTTTAGCTATTGAGATTAAATATACATTAAAATGAGCCTTTTTTGTGTAGAATCAATAAATAATAAGAGAATTTTTTTTTAAGCATCCCAGGTACTATTGACGCCTAAGTACACTGACATGACAGCAATTGCTTATTTAGGGTGGCGCAAAAAACCGATTCTTTTTTGAGTCTTGTAAGAAAATTATTAATTTATCATATTTTTAGACCTCCCTCCAAAATGGCAGCTCAAAAAATTTTTTTAGGGTTGCTCAAGAATTTTTTAAATTTTCCAAATTAGTCAAAATCCGATTTATTAAATTATACTTTCATTGTTGTTTTGGATTTTTCTCGTGATGAATTTTGATCCAATACCTTGCTAATTGAAAGTAAAAATTCAAATTAATATCTTAATATTAAGATTTAAAGGTCGCATCAAAAGCAATAAATTTGTATATAAAAAAATTATGAGTGACCGTTACGGATTTATATTTTGAGCTGAAAATTTGATATTTTTTTTCTTTCTGCGGCACAAAATTGTACCGTCACGAGCATAAAAATTTAAAAAAAAAATTGAATTTTGACTAATTTTGAAATTTTTTAAAATCTTAAGCGACCCCTAAATGCTTTTTTTTGAGCTGCCCTTTGGAGCGGGGTCTTAAAACATGATAAATTATTATTATTTTGTGCGGGATTCAAAAAAAAAATTGTCGGTTTTTTTGCACTACCCTAATATTTATATATATTCTTATAAATCATAGCCAGCTCAGTTATAAGAAAAATTTTCTTAATTTTAATATCTAAGCAAATTTGAATAAAAACTAATGCAAAAAGGATGTCTCGCCAGTCAAAATTCTTGTAGTCATTCGCCCAAAATACTAAACTTTTCGTCTTAATAACATTAATATCTTTATATACTGACAGGAAGACATCGCCTAACTGTGCCCGCTAACACGTGATGTATCAAACTTTAGTTGGTTGTTCTCTAATACTTTATATTATAATTTAAGAAGGAAGTCATCTCATACACACTTACTCTAAGTTGTTTAATTTTTAAAATTTCTAGAACGTCCTTAAATAGTTGCGTAGAACCAGCAGCTCCTCCAGATATAGCAATCGTAGGAGACAAGGGAAGATTTAAATCTTTTTGTATTCTAATCAAGTCGGCTAGCATGGTTGGAGTACCCATTATCCAAGTACACCTAAAATTATATATTGTTCATTTTTTTAGTTGCTCATTACACTGTGTATAATAATAAAAAAAATTTTTTTAAATTATGAAAAATTTATAATAAGTCCCAATCTAGGGGCGGATGGACCCACCGGGAAACCGGGTGCGCTGGTCCACTCATCTGTATTATTTTACTGGATAGGATATAGGCTATATTTAACATACTAAAAATCCGTTCCACCAAGAAGACCGGAAGTGCAACACTGCTGGCCGACTTGGGCAAATTTTGGCGGGATAATTTGACATACCTAACCTATAATTTGATTAGTCCTTTTTCCTATTCTTCTTTTATTCATTTTGCAGGCAATGTCCTTCGGGATAATTTACCCAATTTGATTTTTTATAAAAGCAAATATAAAAATGGAAACGTGAAGCATATTATGTCTTTACGAATGAACGTTTATTGTTTATATTATAGTAATACTATACAATACTACCTACGTAAATAGCAGATAAAGGATCAGTTCTAAAGTACCTATAGTGGAAGCGAAAATTCTTAATACTGCACTAAGGATTTTTTTATCATTTATGAGGCCTAAAACCAAAAGGAGATATTGATAATAGAAATAACATCCTCGAGCTAGAACTACATACCTAGATGGTCGAATCACTTTAGGAAATAAGTATGAAACCAGAATCAGTGAGTTTGCCACTGTAACAATAGAACCAGGAAGGAAGAACAGGGATATAAATATGGTTAAAAGATGTAGAAGAAGATCTAAACAATACCTGTGAAAATGTTTAACTGATAGAACAATATGGATATTTGCAACTAAAGCGATTAAAATTGGAACTGATCTAGTGGTGTTTTCAGACACATGATTTACAGGAGCCGGTAGGCATTAATAATGAGGGTATAATTAATGTAATATCAGATATTAGTATTATTTAAAATTTTAATTTTGTAGATTAAAGATAGAAAGTTTTGTATATCTGAAGTTTAAGAAGAAATCTTAAATTTAATTTTCAAGACCAATATTTTTAATAAATAACTAAAACGATAAGGTTTATATATTTATTAATTTTTATATTTATATCTAGAACTATTAGATTTATTTTATATCGTAAACATTTATTATTAATACTTTTGTCTTTTGAGTTTATTGTTATTTTTATATATTTAAATATATTGTATGTAATAACAATAAATTATGATTTAAAAATGATTTTTTTTAAATAATTAGATTATGGGAAGTTTTATGGAGATTAATTTTACCACTTACCCTTCATTACTAATCGCTCTCAAGTTCTTCTCGGGATTGTAATATAGCGATGGCAAAGTTATAGTAACTCCGTGTGATATACATAGCAAACAAAATCCCAAACCAAATATATGAAAAAGTGGTAAATAAAAACAGAAATTTCCTTTTTCTTGAAGAAGCGGTAGTCTCATTTTCAGAACATTAAGACAATTGGCAAATTGATGATGAGTTAGGCCAACCATTTTCGGATTTCCAGTGCTCCCCTAAAAATATGAATATAACAATTAAAAAATATAATGTTACCATAATCATAATGTTTCATTACAAATAAAATTTTTAAATCTAGTTCTACAATTGGTAAAATTGGAGGTTTTAGGGTTTCTTTTTGTATCATTAGGTACAATGTTGAGTCTCTCCACATTATGATGTGTTCCAATATTCCAGCAACCCCTTAAGATTAACAAAAGTTACTTTTAAACAATGACTTAATCTTATAACGAGATAAATTTAGTTTAAAGTCCAGAAAGTCCAATCTCTCATGATAATAAAATTGTCATTTTCATGTAACCACTTATTTTCACATTCTTAGTTTCAGATGTTAGCATACTGGATTTGAAATAACTTCCTTTGAAAAATGATAATTACATTCAATCGTTGTAAGAACAATTCACAAAAATTAACTAATTAACTCTGCGTGGAAAATGTTCAAATTAAACGTTAAATACAACTTATTTTTTCGCAGTTGTTCACACTTTTCTTTACGTGATATCATACTTCTTTTATCCTTGATCAAAAATTCGCATCGTAATAATTGGCATTATTATTGGAAAATATAAAGAATTTACTAAAAATTCTAAAAAAATATTTTTAATGTTTCAAATTAAAAATTAAAAAGGAACACACGTATGATAATAAAACAAACAGTCATGTTATTAATCTAGTTACTGATTTACATTGAACTAGAAAATTCAAGGTAGAGCGTGACATTTTTAAAAATACAACTATCTCGTAAATTTTATTTATATAGAGAGGAGACAGAAATAAAAGATTCTGTAGTGCGGACTATGGTCCAGAACTTTCGCCGAAGGTGAGAGCTCTAGTTTTTTGGGACTCTTAAGTCCCAAAACAAAGTAAATGTGTAGAGTAGAGTATTGTGCAGCGATTTGTGAATTATGGGTAAAAATCTTTAACTTATTTTTAATGTGTTTTGGTTGATAATAATTAATTGATTTACATATAAATACAAATTTTACATTTTCGTCCCAATTATCATACTTATCTTTTACATATTTTTATATTATTATGTAGTTAAAGTTTTCCAGTGCTATTTATAATTGTTAATAAGTCCAAACTGTATAGTTTAATTAAGTGTTCATCTAGTGTATTATTAATCTCTCCTCCCCCTGTAACCTACCGCACCCAGGTACCATAATCATTTATTAATTCCATTTTATTAAAAAAAGTTGCATTCTTATTAAATACCAAATTCTTCATTTAACAAAAATCTCCCAGATAATTAAATCTTATTTACGACACCTAATAAATAATATCTAAGAGATCCAATTTCTTTAAAGTGTCTGGGAACGCAATCTAAAACCACCATACAACACGAAGTAATAATCATTAAAACTCTTAACGCACTTATCTTAAGTCAGTTTTGAATAGGAACGTTGTTTTCGATACACAAACTTTCCAAGGCAAATAATAAATCAGCCACCCCCTATCCACCTAAATTCGTATTTTATATGAGAAACAAAACGATAGAGACGTCACAAAAACGATTAAACTGTGTATAAAAACCAGAGTTAAATGAGCTCAGAGGCATTCAATTTTTGTTATTTGATGTGCAAGCATACATTTGTTAGTTCACATTCAAAGCAATCACCTTATTGTCAGTACCTAGTTATACCGTCTGTACCTTTCCTAAAACGCTCTTCCTAAACGACGTCTATCCCACAATACCTCCAATTTCCCAAAGGTGTCAACGTCTCGACGCCCATCGCCTCTCCGTTCTACTTCCCTACCTTTCGACGTCCCAACAATATCACTTCTAACACCACCTAGTATTTCCTACCATTATATTCATCCCGACGCCCAACGTCTCGACGCTCGACGTCACTACGTCATCTCTTTATCCGACGTCCCCATATGACGCTCAATATCTCATCCGACGCCCTACGTCCTTACTTATCTACCTCCCTGCGTTTGGCGTTCTGCGTCACGACGCTCCTTCTCCGCCCCGCCATTCTAAATTTCGACGCCAACGTCTCAACGTCCCTGCTAATTATCCAAAATACAAAAATATAAAATGTCTGAAATAGAAACAGACGATAATATAAACCCAACGGTCTGTTTATCCGAGGGTGAGTTAATAACAACCAAGTTAAAATTATAAAAATGGGAATTTATTGTTGAATCATAATGAGTATTATTCTGTAACTCATTATTATTCAAAAATGGTGAATCTTCACCTTTAAGTGATTTATTGCTAACCGACGTCGCATTTAGCTCGTCCAGATGTGTATGCTATGGGCCATATTGCCTTCAAATTAATATATCACCGTAAAAGATAATAAGAGTCTGGTTACCGAACTGTCAATGAACCCTCGCAAATAACAGATCAGCTGATTGGGGTAAATGACACATCGGACGACTAGACTCACATTTATCCGAATATTCTTGATGTTACTACAGAGTTGGACTATCTTAGATAATTATCTCTCAATCTTTGCACCGTAGGTAGATCTGAACATAAGGGGTAGTTCGCTAGTATTGATCTGGCTCTATTCTAGTAAGACTACATCTACATAAAACCCCACTAGGTGAGGCTGAAACATAAGGGATATCCGCCTGTTATTGCAACGACGGTATCTCAGTAAGCGCACCTATATAAAAAAGAAAACAACGAAACAAAGAATTATTAAAGATAGTGCAATTCTGAGGACGTCTGTTGTCTATTCTCAAGAATTGTTTAATTACAAATATTTGATGGCAAGTGGCCTGTGGCCTGTTGTTTGGGCGAGACACATGTGAGGTCTACCTTATATTAAAATAATCTGTACATATTTATTTTATTGGAGATCAAGAAAATAAATTAAGTTAAATATACTTTGAGCATTATTTCATTCCCAAATTTGTACCAAACTTTGCATCGAATCCTGGTTTATTTTAATTAACATTATCACAACGTGGGTATATAAATTATCAATTAATTAACTAGACGATCACTACACTACTAGAGGAAAAGGCCATATACAGTAAGTATGAATTTCTTTGAATTTCACAAGGGGAGGGAGGTAGTTAAATTAAAATACGGGCTTTTAATAATTATCTACAAGACCAGGGGGGTGGGAGGTCACAGTAAAACTAGTTGCCTAGAACAGCTCGACTATGCTATTAAGGGATAATTTTGTTCTTATAGTTCAAGTTTTTTAATAGTTTTATTTGCCACTGGTGAATGGATGTTTCTTCTGGACTCCAGGACCCTTTGGCTGGTGACAGTGCTGCCCTAAGCCCTTAATAATATATTAACAATAGTAGCTAAATACCTATCAGTAGTTACAAATGGTCTTTAGGCTAGTTGGTTGTTACATTTGGTGACGAGCGGTGGTTCTTTTATATTAGTTGGTTGGGTTGGGGATTAGCATCTTGGGTCCATATACGAACACAAACATTTCCAATGATAAAATAAAAAAATGTAACTTATGGAAGTTAGAGCATAATTATTTTGAAAGTAATATCTATTAATATAATACTTACAGAAGTGAAAAGTATTGTAAATATATCGTGCGTGTCTATCTGATTTTTGAAGTTTGTCAATGTTTCTTTTGGAATACTCTTTCCCAATGACATTATGGATTTGAACTTAGTTGTACCTCTAAAACATAATTATAAAATAAGGATAAATTATATCTAATGCCTGTAAATAATAGTAAATTATATACTTAGATTGAGAAGTAAGCAATTATTTACCGAGCAATTTTCTTATATTCGGATCTGTAATTGTAATTTTTATTGGTTTTTGTGAATGTTAATAAGTTTGTTTTAGGACTTTTGGAGTGAGGGTAGCCATATGTGAGTAGTAGGGATTAAGTGTAAAGGTTAAAGAAAATGTCCTTTATTTCTCACAAGTCAATTTATTGGCGACCGGTTTCGAAGTTGTCACTTCATCATCAGGCACACCTAAATGGAATGTCAAGGAGTCAGTTGTAATAAAAACAATTATAAAAGCATGAACGGACTTTAACATATACAAAATAACAGAAAAAACACAAAAGAAAGTTAAACAATAACCTTGTCTCACCTTGACTAATTCCATAAAGGAAGCGCTACAAAAAGTTTAACAGAACGAGTTAAAAAAGTCATGTGTAATAAGTATTTTTTAAAAAAAATTTTTAATGTAGGTTAGGTTAAACCACCAGATGTCTTTTTGAATAAAATAATTAATTAAAACACATTTAAGACAATTATTATTAACTAAACAACACAAAATAGTTTTAAAAGCACAAACAGTTTAAAAATTTTTTTTTAAGGAAATAATGTTAATTACTGAAAGTAAAAAGTAAAAAAGTAAAAATTATCAGACTGTCAAGACATCTATCTAGATTTTTAACGAATCAATGCAGTAAACTGTAAATTTTAAATTAGCGGATAAATAGTGTACTAACGGAGGTGTTATTTACTGAAAGCAAAATTTATTGAAAGTAAAATATATTAAACTGAGAATGAGGAAGCAAAAAAAAAAATTTTTATACTAACAAGAAAATTAGAACAATAAACAAGAAAATATGAAAATTCATATGTAAAAAGGGAAATTTGAAGCAGATAATCAAAAAGAAAATTACTGTTACAGGAAACGGAAAATAGGTTGACAGTACGAATGTCAAAAAAGAAAAGTCAAATTTTGGCGTATGACAACCACGTGGGAGAATTTGAATAAGCTAAAAAAATTTTTAATAAGATGCGAATGGGCAAAAATTAATGGAAAGAAAATCTAAATTGGGATAGTTAATTGTGGTAAGTAACTGACTGAAGATCAAATGAGTGGGGGTAAAAGTCTGAAAATAATTTAAATAAGCGCAGAGAACGTTGGGGTACTAATAAATTGAATTTGTGCATTCAGAGAGCAGGAGGGGCCAGATTTAATATTTTTTAAAATTTCCAGGTTCTCAAAGTTATTCAGAAGGAATTTATTAGAAGTCATATGCAAAATGTCGAAGCCAATGCTAGAATCAAAATCGTGACCAGTGTCTAACAAATGAGCAGCAAAGCGAGAAAAACCAGTAGTGTTAGTGTTAAGACAGCGTGTGTGCTCTTTCAGGCGTATTTTAAAATTACGAAAGGTCCTTCCCACATATGAGCATGGACAGTTCAAACAAGTTAGTTTGTAAACACCAGACTGATCCATAGGATCAATCTTATCCTTATTCCTAAAAAACAGGCTACTGATCGAGTTGGACGTTCTAAAGCTAATTCTGAAGGAATCTTTGAACAAGTTGGCTATACGATATGAGAATTTTCCAATAAAAGTAAGTGAAACATACTTACGATTATCTGCTTCAATATTGGGAAGGGGGTCAATTATGTAACTATTGTTCTGATTACGTTTATTCTGTTTTCTATGAAGCATTTTATCTATTAAGTTCTGATCATAATTGTGACTATTAGCAATTTGTTTGATAACATTGAGTTCTTTATTAAAGTTATCTACTGATAGTGGTACTCTTCAGAAGACGTTCCGAGTAACAATTAAAAGCTGCTAACTTATGTGTAACTGGGTGATTGGATAAATTATCAATAACAACCCCTGTGTGAGTAGGTTTTCTAAATGTGTTAAATTCCAACTTAAGATCTGTACAATGGGATATAGTTAAATCAAGGAAGTTGATAGATTTGTTGTTTTCTATCTCTAATGTAAATTTGATGTTACTATGTATGGTGTTTATATAATATATTTTTACTTTCAATAAATTTTGTCATCGCCACCTATACTCACTTTCAGTAAATAACACCTCCGTTAGTACACTATTTATCCGCTAATTTAAAATTTACAGTTTACTGCATTGATTCGTTAAAAATCTAGATAGATGTCTTGACAGTCTGATAATTTTTACTTTTTTACTTTTTACTTTCAGTAATTAACATTATTTCCTTAAAAATTTTTAAACTGTTTGTGCTTGTAAAACTATTTTGTGTTGTTTAGTTAAATAATTGTCAAATGTGTTTTAATTAATTATTTTATTCAAAAAGACATCTGGTGGTTTAACCTAACCTACATTAAAAATTTTTTTTTAAAAAATACTTATTCTTATTACACATGACTTTTTTAACTCGTTCTGTTAAACTTTTTGTAGCGCTTCCTTTATGGAATTAGTCAAGGTGAGTCAAGGTTATTGTTTAACTTTCTTTTGTGTTTCTTCTGTTATTTTGTATATGTTAAAGTCCGTTCATGCTTTTATAATTGTTTTTATTACAACTGACTCCTTGACATTCCATTTAGGTGTGCCTGGTGATGAAGTGACAACTTCGAAACCGGTCGCCAATAAATTGACTTGTGAGAAATAAAGGACCTTTTCTTTAACCTTTACACTTAATGTTTTAGGAGTTTTCATGAAAAAATGAAGTAAAATAAATTTTAATGAATAAAAAATAATAAAAACCACTTCAACTACATTTTGCATAGACTAAATTTCTCATAATGTACATTTTAACGTTAAAATTTTGGTAGCAAAACGGCATGCGGAAAAATAAAAAAAAATGATAAATATGTTTAGTTTTTTATGCTCTTACCAAACTTGAAATTCAATTTGTAAAAATTTTATGTATAGGGTGTTGTTTTCGGGTGGATCAAATTTTAGTAATTTTTGTCAAGCCGGATCTAGATTTTGAAAATTTTTAATATATCTTTAAATTGTTCTATAGGTGTATATTATTTATGCCAAATATTAATCCACATCGGAGACGGCAACGTTGTGTTAAGTTGTAAATACGTATTTGATTTTTCTCCTGCATCTAACTCAAAAAATTGGGCGATACAGAGAAAATTAATTACATTTAAACAACCTACAGTGAAGTTAAAGTGTTTAACCCAACGTGAAGTGAAAAATCGGATTTAAAAACATAGAAATAGCGATAAAGACCAATATAAATAATAAATGTGAGTGATTTCAAAGGTCAAATCCAAACGAAAAGGCAGTCGCTAAGAACAGAGCTGCGCTAGATTGCACAGCGGTGTTGCCAGATTTAAAAAAAAGAGCAAGAAATTACACAAACGCTGAAGATTGATAAAAGGTGTACTTCCGACGGGAAGACTGGGGTATATCTTTTTGCGCAATCAACAGCAGGCACCAAGATGAGTGACATAGGAAAAATAGAAAAGATGTTCCAACTGATAGAAGAAAATATGAAGGAAATTAATGGAAAATTAGATATGGTAGTAGCAGACAACAAGCAAATGCGAGAGGAAAACAGAAAACTAAAAGAAAAAGTGACATATCAGGAAGAAAGAATAAGCAATCTAGAGAGGGAAATAAGGAGAAAAAATATTATCATAAAAGGAATAGAAGATGAAGAACAGGAAAATGAGAAGAAAACAAAGGATAAAATATGCATAATTTTACAAGAGATGGGAGTAAAAATCGCAGTAAAAGAAGATATAGATGAAGTACGAAGGATGGGCAAGTACAAACATTGAAAGGAAAAGACCAATAATTGTGAAACTAAACAGGGAAAGCACAAGAACAATGATTTTGCAAAAAAACAGAAGCCTGAAGGGCACAAATATATGGATTGATGAAGACTACCCAAAAGAAGTCCAAGAGGAAAGGAGGAAGCTAATAATAAAAATGAAGGAAGCTAGAAATAAAGGTCACAAAGCACAATTAAGATATAATAAACTAATAATAAACGACGAGTTGTACAGGGAGAAAGACACCGATCAAAACCAGGAAGGAAAAAGAGAAGGAGGCGAAGGAAGCAGCAGTCAAAAGAGGACTATAAACGAAAGATCGCCGGAGCAAAACAGATTTGATGAACAAGTAAGGAAAATAACACGATCTAACACAAAAAAACCAATAAATAAAGATGAGATTAAAAAAAACGATGACGGAAACGGCGATGGACAAGGAAATGAGCAGAAAATAAATAACGGTGCAGTAAAAAAACAAAAAACATGATGATCAAGGCAACGAATTACAGAAAAAAAAACATATTTTATTTTACTTCAAGCAAATAAAACCGTACAAAACGGCAACACAGAGCAAGGTCAATAATTTAGACACTCATATTATGAAAATAGGAACATGGAACTTGCAGGGAATTTACGAGGAAGGAGCAATAAAAAATCTAGCAAGAGAAACAAAGAAATATCAGATAGATATCCTAGCAATGCAAGAAACCCATCTAACCGGGAACAATACATCGGAGATACAAGATTATATAATGTTCACAAGTGGAAATCAAAGCCGTAGATTTGGAATGGGTTTCTTAGTACACAGAAATATAAAGGCATCAGTAGTAAATTATAAAGCCGTAACAGAAAAATTATGTAAAATACAAATAAAAAGCGGAATACAAAATATAACAATAGTTAACAACAGAAGAAAAAGGATGAGGAAACAAAAGATGAATTCTACGAAGAACTAGAGAGAGTATATGATGAAATGCCCAAAAGTCATCTGAAAATAATTCTAGGAGATGCAAATGCAAAAGTAGGCAAAGAAGAAATTTACAAAAATATAACGGGAGGTGAAAGCAAACACGATATAAGCAATAATAACGGTCTAAGATTAATAAATTTAGCTATAGAAAAAGATATGAAAATCATGAGCACACATTTCAAAAGGAAAGATATTCACAAAGGAACATGGATCATACTAG